CATACCGGAGGATCTTCGATAGACAAGTGAGCAGGTCACCTTCCGACCAGAAGGAGTTGGCTTTCAACTGTTGAAGGGAGAGTTTCATCAAGGCTCCATGATTGCGCCATTTGCGGTTTGAGTCTTTGTCCTCCTCAAAGAGGACAAGTCATCCTGGCAATGTGAGACCTCCTGGTGCCAGGGAGAGCCCGATTTCCRTCCTGTCATCTGCATACCTCAGTGGGATAACCGCCACCCCTTCTTTCTGCAGAAGCTCCTTCTCATACTGGCCCGCCTCCACCATGTGTCTGAGTTTTTTATGAAGCTGACCAGAGTGGGTCAGATCTCCTTGGAGGAACTGTTGAGCGGCAAGATGACGAATCTGTTGGAAGATTTCCCGCCAGGTAATGTGCGGGGGGGGTCCCTCTTCTAGGGCTTTACGTAGGGTCGGACTCCTATCCAATAGGGCAAAAAATTGAGTGTAAGTGCAGTCCCAAAACTCCTGTGTGGCACCAGGGTGCTGGGCTTGGAAACCCACTATTATCCAGTCGGCTATAGTTATGAGTTTCCGCGTTGTGTCCATTTCAGCCGGAGGGGCATCGGTATCGGTGTGATGATCGATGTCCATTGCCACTACGTCGGGTGGGGGGGGGAGAGGAACAAAAGGCTCCTCAACTTCCATCGGTTGTCGGCCAAAGGCCCCTTGGAGGTAGTCTTCTGTCGTGGCGTCCCTTCGGTCGATCTCCTCTTCCTGTTCTCGCCCTGTGTCCTGCTCCTGCTGGCCCACTCCAGGCGGACTGCCTTCGCTCAATGCTTCTCCGGAAGGTTTTACTGGCAGGTGGTCTGTTGTTTGTTCCTTCTTTGAGGGAGCCTGAAAGTGAGCAGTGGAAATCTTGAACAATTTCTGAAGAATTTTCGTCCATCGTGTTTGGCCAGGTGGACCTTGTTCCAGGACCTGTCTCACCATTGCGCTGTTCTCAAGAGCTCCTTTCAGTTGTGCCTGGGCCCGGGGCCAGAAGTATGGTGGGGCCTCCTTGTGTTCTGTTTGTAGCCCTGACACAATCCAGTCAACAATTTCTAGTGTAGAGGGACATAACCTCTGCCCGAGATCGAAGGCTGTCAAATTATCCCTCCCTTCCCCACTCCATGCCAGAAGGTTAGCATAAGGGTCTGTTGGGTCCTTCCTAGGTTGATTGTGACTAGCGGTTTGCGTGCAGTTTGCCATTCCATCAAGGCGGGGTAGCTGGAGTTGTGCACTGTCCAGATGTCCTGGCTCACCTGGGGGCATTACCTGTCCACCCATCCTACCTTCCGATGTTATCACCTTCTCTATTGCCCCCTCCGTTTCCCCTGTCGCTTCCGAGGCCAGCAGAGCAAATCTGTTTACGTCCGCCTCCGTGTTCTTTTTGACGGCCCAGGTTAAAGGGTCCTTCCTTTTCCCTTTTTGCTCTATATGTGGCTGCATTTTACTCCATTGGACTTGCAGGTAGCCTTCCGGGTCGGGGCCAAATTGTTTCCCTTTAGGATTGTTTTGTACCTCCCCTTCCCCAGTTCCCTGGATTGTGGGAGTGCCCTCATGAGGTTGAAGGTGAGCTTCCACCGTCTTGGGGGGGGCCCAGGAGGGTGGAGGTTTAGAGTCCAAGTTGGGTTCTCCTGCTCTGTCCCATATCCATCCAATGACCTCCCCCTTCCCATTTTCTTTGTCCACGAACACCCACCCTTCATTCCCGGGGTCGACTGTACGCCAATGTGTACTCCTAAAGGGGTCTTGTATCAGTCGTCCAGTAGCCCTAACCTGATTTACCGGATGGTGAGAGCAGACAGTCTGCTCTCACCATCCGGTAAATCAGGTTAGGGCTACTGGACAACTGATACAAGAACCCTTTAGGAGTACACACTGGCATACAAGTGTCCGTAAGCCTAGCATTTAAAGCACCAAGGCCGTAGCTTGTAGGCCGTGTGAATCTTGTAATCCTTCTCCCCAACCCGAAAAGGGATGATGTCATCCACTGAGAAGGGGAGTCCTTCTGGGAGGTCTATTGCCAGCATCAGGTAGTCATCCCTCCTGGCGACATGGGGGGGAAGGGGGTCGATAAAGTCGATGATATCGAATTTCTCTCCGAAATCTTGAACAAACGCTGCCTGAATCTCAATAGGGATGTGTCGAAATTCCACCAAGAAATTTTCTGACATCATCCTCTTTCTTCTCTCTTTTGGGCGTTGCCGTTTCGGGGGAGCCCACGGGTAGATACGTACCTCAGACCTCTCACATCGGATGGATTTCCAATTGTCCATTCGCTGTTTGTCCGCTTCATGTCTACAAATGGCAGTGACCGTGGTTGTCGAAATAGGTTGGAGGAGAAAGAGATCCTGTGCTTCCTCCATGTTGCCCCTAAGTGAGGCTAACTTCTTCCGTATCCATCCGACCTTGTCATTTGTAGACTTGAAAGCAGCGTCATCGTAGAAAACCCAATTACTGGCATGCTTAAGGTACAGATCGTTCCTGCCCCTGACCTTGTCTGCTGGAAGGGTTTTAATCAGTGAGGATTTCCCTTTTGTGTTGATAATCCTGGGCTCAGATGGGGTCAGAAGTTTGGACAGGAAGAACGCCCCCGCTGACGATAGATTATCTAAGGGTATCTTCCACTCCTTCCCATCCCCGTCGTCTGCTTTTCTCTGCACAGCGATCGTTTGTCCTGCGTGTGGCCTGTTTAGGCGGGCTGCCCATGTGGGGGGGGTCGGGGTATGCTGGGGGGTGGGGCTGGACGATTGGGGATCGTCAAATGCCATTGTCTGTCGGGTGGGCGAGGTGTCGTCCACTGTTGTTTTTTGTTTCCAATCGGACAGTCTTTTGTCTGCATGCTGTCTCATGGCTCCGTGATACAATATGTGAGTTCTCTGGTGTTTGTGACCGGCGTTTGGCCCTTTGCTATTCTTCAAGGTGAAAGGATCTATGTGTTATCCGTTCGTTATGAATGGGCCGGGCGGATCAGGGGGGTGATCAAAGTCCCAGTCAACAGACGAGATGGGGGATCCAAAAGAGGGAGGGGGGTACAATGGGAGAGAGAGCGCGGTCAAAAAAAAAAAAAAAAAAAAAAAAGGGGGGGGGGGGGGGGGGGCTAAGTCACCAGGGCCGAAGTCAGAGCTCGGGGGGGTGGGGGAGGGAGGGCGCGGAGGAGAGCAAGGGAGGGATGGAGAGCGGGTTGAGGACAGGGATCAGGGAGTGGGAGGGACTACGGTCATATCAGTTTTTTTTTTTTTAAATTTAATTTATTTAAAAACCCAGGGTATTGTAGAGGCCAAGGACCAGACCCATGGTGATCGCTGGCAGCAGCAGCCTATGGTCATATGAGTTTTTAGCCTGGAGCATCACCTTTCCCTTGTCACCCTTGCTACTTCTGGAGCTCCTACTTACTAGTGTAGTATTTTCTCAATACAATTAGAACTGTAGTGCGGGGGCTAGGTCCCACTTACACGAATTAAGCGATATTGACCGTACATAGCAGAGATCAACGGCTAAAATCTCTTAATCCGTGCGGGTATAGTGCTGCACCACATTTTTTTTAAAAGGCTAATTCTTTAACCACTAGTACCTTTCCGGCATGGGAAAATAGGGAAAACTGGCTGTTTTCCCAAACTCCTGAATTTTTGGAGGTCGGGCCCGACGATGACTGCCATTGATAAATCTGATCGGCGGCCGTCATTTCGTTTCGGCCTCTGAAAAGGTCGGACGCCTACTCGAGGCCCGCTATTTTCCCAAGCGGCCCAACCAATTCAATTACCTGTCAAATCTGGACAGGACGGCCTTTCAGGCCTTTTTTTTATTGTCATTATAGTATTACGGGGAACCCCGTAGCAGCCACATCCGTGCTCAAGCCTCCAAAGAGGGAACATGCGGGAGCTGCACCCACCAGCAGGTGCGATACCTGCTACAGCAGGTGGGCGATACCAGCCAGGGGTCAGCTGGTAGCATCAGGACAGAGCTTCTTCTATGGGCCAGTCACTGTGCCTCCCCTCCGGTCCCCTCCCCCTATGAACATCAGCAGTCTCTGCTCAATGCCACTCGGGGGGACCAACGGCATCTCTCTAGGTGGCGGGCGGCAAGCTTGCCCAGGAAGGTACATGAGGCCAATGGGGATTGAACCCAAGATCTCCTGAATGCCACTTGCGTGCGTTACCAACTGAGCTAGGCCGCTGGATCGAGTGTAGTGTAGAGGTATGGCACGAGGCCCCTACTCTACACGAATGCTGGTGGGACGAATCCCCCGGCAGCTTTTGACAGCGCCCGACAGCGGTTCGGGAGAGGCGCGACGGGCGCGCTACGGGCGCGGGCTTGAAATTTTCAACGGCGCGGTTTCCCGCCACGGAGTGCATTTTCATCTTCCCGCCACGAAGAGCCTAAATTTCGATGACGGCATTTCGAGGCTCCCGCCGCCGGCTACCGAACATGGCCCCTGGCAGTTGAAAATGGCCGACCAGCAGAGGGGGAAGAATCTAACCACAAACTACGTGAAGATGCGTTCGTCGATTTCCACGTTTCGTGAGTCGAGCGAGACGGCCCATTGTCCCGCGAGGCGGCGTTGGCGGCGCCTGGACTGCTTGTCGAAAGGGAGAGAAAGAGGGAGAGGGAGAGAGAGCAGGGGTTGCAAAGAGACAAAAGTGGCAAAGACGCAAACAGACGTGCGCGCACGCATTCGAACGCACGACCATACTACACTCTCTCCCTCTCACACACACACACACACACACACACACACACACACAGAGAGAGAGAGAGAGAGAGAGAGAGAGAGAGAGAGAGAGAGAGAGAGANGGGGGAGAGAGGGCGCGGAGGAGAGCGGGTTGAGGATAGGGATCAAGGTAGTGGGAGGGATACAACAAATGGGGGATAATCAGAGATCAGAGGGGATGGGGAGCGGGTTGAGAACAGGTATTGGGGGAGGGAAGGAATACAACAGATCAGAGTTAAACAGAGATCAGAGGATGGTCGAGGCGGAATTCGGGGAGGACGGGATCCGAGATTGGGGGACCAATCAAGTTTGGGGGGCGAAGGAGGAAGGGAAGGAGCGAAGGCGCCGGGGCTGGAGGGTGGGAGGGCGCGGTCCAAGGGGGAGGGGGGCCAAGTCACCAGGGCCGAAGTCCAAGCTCGGGGGGGGCGGGGGAGGGGGGCACGGTCTCGGGGAGGACGGGATACAAGCGATGGGGGAAGGATGGCTCAGAGCGAGGCCAGTCGGGATCGGGGGAACCGTCAAAGTCGGGTGACGGAATGGAAGAGTTTTGACGGGGGGAATGAAGTAGAGAGGGGGGGGATGAGGAGCGGGATGCGGTCAGGGATCAGGGGAGGTGGAGGAATACAACTGTCGGGGGATGACCAGACAAGATCGGGGGGCGGCGAGGGAGAGGAGGAGCTGACAGGATACGAGCGATGGGGGATGGCTCAGATGCGAAGGCTGCCGTCGAAGACGATGGACAAAAGGGGGATATTGACGCGAAGACTCCAGAGCCGGAGTCGGAGAGGTGGGGGAGGGAGGGCGCAGATAGGGACTGAGGAAACAGACAGGGAGGCGACGTCGGGGAGGGAGAGCGCAGATAGGGACCGAGGAAACAGACAGGAAAGCGACGTCAGAGGAGGGGATGGAGGTAAGTACAGGGGAAGCGAGGGAAGGCAGGATGAGCAGAGTTCGGGGAGGGCAGGATACGAGATGGAAGATGAGCCAGTCGAGATCGAGGGAGAGAGGGAGGTGGCGTCGGAAGGGGGGATGTGTGGTCAGGGATCAAGGGAGGGGGAGGGAGGTTGGTCGAGATGGGGGGGGGGGGGGGGGGGCGGGACTCGGGGAGGACGGGATACAAGCGATGGGGGAAGGATGGCTCAGAGGCGAAGCCAGTCGGGATCGGGGGAGCCGTTGAAGTCGGGTGACGAAATGGAAGAGTTTTGACGGGGGGAACGAAGTAGAGAGGGGGGGGATGAGGAGCGGGATGCGGTCAGGGATCAGGGGAGGAGGAGGAATACAACTGTCGCGGGATGATCAAACGAGGTTAGGGGGCGGCGAGGGAGAGGAGGAGCTGATGGGATACGAGCGATGGGGGGGGGATGGCTCAGATGCGAAGGCTGCCGTCGAAGGCGAGGGACGAAAGGGGGATATAAGTCGTAATACGAGTACGACATCATCAATTTTTTTATTTTACACGGTGTGACCGAATCATGCAGGTGTGGGAGAGTGTTGAGGTTAGACACTGCTATTCTTCGCTCAATCTTCTTTATATATAGTTTCCCCTCATCTCTATCTCATCCTCCCACTACTCTGTCTATAGTAGGGGGGACCACCACCCAACCATACCTGGAACTCTCCCCAACAAGCACTCCCTTTCCCATCTCCGACTTCGTAACGCTGCATCTGAGGCCTTAGGGCATACTCTCACACTAGTACTTTCCTAAATGCATCTGACCGTAATTACGGGCCAACCTGGATGAACCTGACGGCCATAACGTTCAGAACTTAGTTGTAAAGTCCTAGTGTGAGAGTATGGGCCTCGTTCGACACCACTTGGAAATTGTTGTTTTTCAAGGAAGCGTCATTCGACCCCGCCCTAATTACGCACCCTTGAAGTAGCTAACTGTGTACCGCGCAGGGCGCGGAAGCGCAGCCAAATGGGAGCGAGGAGCAGGACAGGCGAGGTGGCCCTTTTCTCACTCCTCCCGCCTCCACCACCATCGATCGACTGCCCTGGACTCTGGGCCTCGCCACACCACTCTCTAAATGTGAAAGAAAGACAAAAAATGTGGCGGGTGAATCTGGCCATGTTCTAGCCAGAAGTTCATTCCCATTTTGCAAATTTCGAGAATGGTGAGGCTATGCCCTGAACCTTACCTTTGGGCCTCGCTGCACTACTCAGCACATGCACAAAAGACAAAAACTATGGCGGTGTATACTTCCATGTTCTAGTGGGAAGATTCATTCATTCACATCATATTTTGCACAGGGGTGGAGGGGGGGTGTTTTGCCATCCCTTCCGTCACTTATCACTTACTAGACCCCGCCTGCCCCAAAACAACCCAACCCCCCGCCCCCCCCTTTCAAAAACGAAGGCCGAAACGGGAAAAAAAAAAACGTCCACCCCAAAAAAGGAAAGGCCGGGCGACGCCCCACACGGCCAAACAACGACCTATGCAACCTACCCTTGGTCGCCCGGCTCCAACCTCTGAGCCGACCATTTCGGCTACCGGTCTGTGCCCTGCCCCCGACCGTGCACCTTGTAGACTTCCCATAAACTCCGTTAGGACTCTTTGACACTTCCATAAAAAGGACGGCCCGCTACACGACAAAGTGCAACGGGGTAAGACGCAGCCTTTGGCTGCAAATTGTTTCCACATCCCCGCGGCCAAGTGTCCACCCTTGAAACGGAAGTGGGGCCCAGGCAAATCGACGAAAATCCCAAGGGTGCCTCGGGAGGTCAGTTGGGGCGGAAGGGTTTCACCCTTCAAAACGGGGAATATACGGACCTTCTTCTTTTTTTCTTTTTTTCTCCACCAATCACAGCTATTCCTGATGCAATGCTGTCAGGACTTCAGTTTCAAGGACGGCCGTCTCAAGGGTTTCGTCAAGGGGTTGTGGAACGAAAAAAGAAGTTAAACCACCAGTACGTGGACCAGCTATCGTCCGCGGGCCTTCCCCATTAATGCGCCGGCCAAGGGAAGGCCCGGTCGCTGCTTGAAGGTCGGGCCCCGGTTCTCTTGGCACGACACCAAAAAATGGAAGATCAAAGAAAGAAAAAAAAGATTCAAATACACACAAATAAAAAAAGAAAGAGAACGAAACGTAAAAAACAAAGTCACGAGGGAGAGAGAGAGAGAGAGAGAGAGAGAGAGAGAGAGAGAGAGAGAGATTCCCGTTGCTTCTCTCTCTCTCTCTCTCTCTCTCTCTCTCTCGCGCGCGCGCACGTTGAAAATGAAAACGGGAATGAATATTCCCGCTTTCTCGGGAAGATCCATTCCCATTTCGGATAGTCTATTCTGAAACAGGAATGGATCTTCCGGCGAAAGCGGGAATATTCATTCCCGTTTTCAACGCGCGCGCGCACGAGAGAGAGAGAGAGAGAGAGAGAGAGAGAGAGAGAGAGAGAGAGGCGGCGACCGGCACCGTGCAGGCCGCTGCCCGTCTCTCTCTCTCTCTCTCTCTCTCTCTCTCTCTCTCTCTCTCTCTCGTTTCGGAATGAATCTTCCCGCTTTCGCGGGAAGATCCATTCGTGTTTCAAAATAGACAACGGAAACGTCGGCCCGCTCTCTCTCTCTCTCTCTCTCTCTCTCTCTCTCTCTCTCTCTCTCTCTCTCAAACGAGAGTGAACCTTCCGCTAAGACAGGCAAAGATACACCGCCTTGATTTTGTCGTTGCTTTTTGCATTTTGCGTTCTTGTGTTTTGCTCTGTTCTTTATTCCGTGTTCTTCTACAAGCACGTTTGGGCAGTTAGCGCCCGGTAGTTTGAGCCTCAGCAAGGCTCGGCATACCGGTCGGTCGAAGCTCGGACTGGATAGCTGGGCCAAGTACTGGTGGTTTAAGGGAAATTAATCACCTTCCGTGAGTTAGGGTGCCCTTGAAACTCAAGTATTTTTCAAGTGGTGTCGAATGAGGCCCTATGCCCCCTCAGGCGCATCACTCCCTTTCCCTCTTTTCCCTTTCCAAGCGCATCTGAACAGATGTGCCGACCATACTTCTCGGTTGACGACTGTCATCCTTGCGCAGGGGCCATGCTAATCTTCTCTGGATCATTCCAATTTTAACGAATCATTGACCCGCTTGTTTGTTCCATTTTTCATTCTGTGAAGCTGCGGTCACGACCTTTCCAGTCCCGCTCACCCGGGTTGGACCAGAGATCCCCGGTTCTTTTCTGGCGGTTCGAATCGTGAACATCCTGGGCCCATGTGCCCTGCATGAGGAGCGCCCATGTGCCCTGCATGAGGAGCGCCCATTTGCCCTTCAGGAGGACCCCTGGGGATCATATGCCAGCCCTCGAGGGATGGAGTGGGTATCATGCTTGTTATGGCCGTGGTGGTAGAGGCATGCACACTTTTCCCAGAAGTAGATATCTCTTGTGGGCCCAAAAAGGCTCATTTTCTGGTGTTTTCGCCCAGAGCCGCCAGGCCGACTCCAGAAGGACATCCATGGCCGCATCAGAACAAAATGGCTAGGAAAGGTACAGGTGGTTCAATTCTGTACAGAGTCAGATCAAAGAGAATGTACTGAACTAAATAGATTGGGGTCCTGCACTTCTTTTTTCTTTTTTTTTTGGAAAAAAGCTCCATCTATTGGTGGGGAGCAGCACCTGCTGGAAAAAAAACCGGGTTCAGCGTCCCATTGGTACATCTTGTAATAACGTCTTTCCCCCCCGCACATTCCCATTCTGCTAGGTCAAAAGGAAGTAGGGAGATCGGGGTAGAAGCCTTACAGCAGGGACATTTTGACTTCTTTAGAATTTTGATTTTTCAAAAATGTCCAAAAAACTCCAAAAAAAAACTACGTTGTACAAAAGTTCAATGCAAACAACTTTCGCCTGAGGGTCTTGAAAAATTCTCAACCAAACTCAAGAAAATGACAGTGGTACTATAGGCTCCTGCAAARTTKTKCCMTTTYTTTTYTTTYTTTYTTTTKTTTKTTTYTTTTTTTTTTTTTTTTTTTTTTTTTTCCTTTTCTTTTTTTGAGAAAACCCGTCCCCTCAGGTGATCATGGTGCTGGTAAGAGCAGTCACCACTACCACCTGGCCCTAAAACTCGTTGTATAACGTACGTATGTTGTATTTGAATACAATACAACATACATCCTTCTTTTTCTGACAGTAGTCCTGCCTCGGTACCATGATGGGGAGGAGCGTGTGTGAGTCTTAAATGTATTCACTTTGACTTGCCGGTGGAACAGGAACCGGACTGTTGATCCCCAGAATGGCAGGAGCCAGAACCGTGAGGTTCTGAAACACACACACACACACACACAAAAAAAAAAAAAAAGAAAAAAAAAAGGTCCTGCCTCGGTACAAGGACCAACACCCAGCCAGCCAGCTCCCCCAGCCGCTTGCAGTGGCATGGTGAGACTATAGTCACCGTGGGTCTCGTCCTTAGCCTTTACAGCACCCTTTTTTTTTTTGGGGGGGGGACAAATGCTCCAGTCTATATGTGGGGAGCAACACGTTCTGGGAACCGGGCCCAGTGTCCCATATAAAATGATACAAAAGATTCGAAATACCAGGGCCATTACCTGGAACAATCTTGAGAATTTGAGCTAAGAACAATCTGAGAACCACGACAAGAGTTCAGGAGAAATTTAAGAAAACCAAAGATAACTACAGGTTTCGACTAAGAACAATCTAAGATTTTCAGCTAAGAACAATCTGAGAACTACGACCATAAGTACCACTTTTAGGATGGACACCGATACATGGAAATGTCAAGGGACACAGAGATAGCAAGTGATAGTAAGTGACATGGGGCTAGCTAAGACAAAGGCTGAGAGGGACAAGAGGGGTTTTACATACTGTTAAGGCAGCCCAAACAGCACACGATGGATAAAATGAGAGCTGGACAAAGGTAGACAAAGTCGGAAAGCGATGACATAGTAATGTGCAGGTCTTGATAGGGGGTCCGAGGAACTGCAGGGGAGGCCCCTCCCTGCGCCCTGCCCCTCTGAGGGCCATCCTGCTGCGTGTCTGGGTGCTGCTAGTCAGCCTCCCAGCCCGCAGGGTGACCCCCAGAGAAAGACCTCCTTGGTTTGGGGAGGTGGGCACCCTTTTGCAGCTCCCCCCTTGCTAGGCAACTAGTGCCACAAGAGTCGGACTGTTCCTCTTGTGGCACAAGGGAGGAGATCTGATCTCCTCCCTTCCGTGGATGTACAAACATGCTTGCCGGTGACAAGGAAACGGACTGTTGCCCCAGAGAACACAAGGGACCTTGTGTTGTGAAATACAAGATGCCACGAACACCCCCCTTCTTTTCATTAGGGGTGGGCCCCCTAATGGACTGCTTAGAAGACCCCCCTTCGCTGCCATTACCTCCTG